TTTTTTGTGGTATGTGGGCCTCTCACTGTCGTGGCCTCTCCCGTTGCGGAGCACAGGCTCCGGACGAGCAGGCTCAACGGCCATGGCTCACGGGCCCAGCTGCTCCACGGCATGCGGGATCCTCCCAGACCGGGGCACGAACCCGTATCCCCTGCATCGGCAGGCGGACTCTCAACCACTGCGCCACCAGGGAAGCCCACAAACATTTTTTAAAAAAGAAGATTTCAAATCCTTAAACAACAATGCCATTGATGTAAATGGCTTCTCTGTGGAGACAGCTGTGCAGATGTAGAAAGTAGAACACACACACACACACACACACACACACACAAAGCCTTGGTTGGCTGAGCCTAAACAACTGTCCATGTAAGGTAAGGAATTCTCAAGCATGCCACATTACCTCTAATCATGCTACCAAGAATAAATATAATTTATTGTGGCCTTGGAGAGACATCATTTTCTGTGTAAACTTGTAACCAATTTAAATTTATGACTGAAGCTATTATGTGCTAGTACCAACTCCCTCTCGACTCCCAAACTTTCACATGAATGAGAGGGACAGCCAGTAGCAGGGGTCGACAGAACTGAGATTTTCAGATATGTTTCATTTGGCCTACTCAGTGTTAAAAATGTTTTTGAATTAGTTGTGCACTCTTGGAACAACTATGGAGATTTCACATAAAGAATCCAGATTCCAGATTTCTGGATTCTACTGAAAATTTGCAAGATTTTGCCACACTGGGCCACATTCCCCCATGGCAACAATGTACTGAAGCTGAGCAGCTGCTGCATGCTGAACATGGTCCTTGTTTGCCCAGCTTTGAAGGTGCTCACTTGGCGGGCCTCGGCCTGATTTGAGGTTGGGACCCTGAAGAAGTCCTCTTTTCCTTTTTATGTTTTGTTTTTGTTATAACTTAAAAAAAATTATTTTATATTGGACTATATTTGATTTACAATGTTGTGTTAGTTTCAGGTGTACAGCAAAGTGATTCAGTTATACATGTGTGTGTGTGTGTGTGTGTGTGTGTGTGTGTGTGTATGTGTATATATATATATATATATATATATATATTCTTTTTCAAATTCTTTTCCCATTTAGGTTATTACAGAATATTGAGCAGAGTTACCTGTGCTTTACAGTAGGTCCTTGTTGGTTACTATTTTAAATATAGTCATGTGTTGTTATAACGTTTTATTTGGAAACTGTTTAAGACTCACAAGAAATTGCAAAAAGAATATAGAGAGTTCTCGTGTACCTTTCATCCAGGTTTCCCCAGTGATAATAAGAAAACATCTTTAACATGTTCTTTTCTGCCACCTATATCCAATCAGGTGCCAGGTCTTTTAGGTTTTACCTCTGTGATCTCTCATGTCCATCTTATTCTTTCCAGGCTCCTTGCCAAAAACCAATTCAAAGCATTTTTACTTTTCCACTGACTCTGCAATAGTCTAATTGATCGGCTCACCTCTATTCTTTCCCTTCTGCAATCAGCTTGCTCTCCTGCTCACAACTTTCAATGACTCTCTTCATCGCCTGCTGAATTCAGTTACATTCTTTCCTATAACTTTCAAAGCTTTCCACAATTTAGCTCCACAGACTTTTGGATTTCATAGACTGGGAAAATTTCAAAACAAAATCTTGGCACAAACACACAGTTGCTACCATTTTCTCTTGCCAAGTAAGGTCATTCTTTAAAAATCTCACCAACTATCAACACCATAATTTCATTTATAAAAGGATATTTTGTTATTTAAAAAAGCAGGGCTATTATTAAAAAAAATAATAATAAAGCAGGACTAACAATCTGAGTAAAATACAGTCCTGCCCAGGAGAGTATGCTGTAACTTTTTTTTTTTTTTTTTTCTGTACGCGGGCCTCTCACTGTTGTGGCCTCTCCGGTGGTGGAGTACAGGCTCCGGACACGCAGGCTCAGCGGCCATGGCTCACGGGCCCAGCCGCTCCACGGCATGTGGGATCTTCCCGGACCGGGGCACGAACCCGTGTCCCCTGCATCGGCAGGCAGACTCTCAACCACTTGCGCCACCAGGGAAGCCCTGCTGTAACTTTTAAAAATCATGGATTGGTAAAATGTCCCCTAGGATCAGCACTGGTCAGCAGATGAACATTTGGGAGCCAGAGATCCAGACAGAGTTGACCAGCATTCTGGAATACACCTATGCTTTCCTACTTCCAAGCCTGTTCCGTGTTCTTGGAATGCTGTCCAGCTATCTGGCCCCCTTTCTGCCCATCTGCATCCTGTCAATCTGTTAGGGCCCATCTTAAATGCCACCTGTCCAAGAATCTTTCCTGTATCCCTCACCAATTCTGCTGTCACTTCTCACTCCCTTCTCTTAATTACCCTAGCACT